AAAAAAAAAAGGAGAGGGTTCTTCCAACTACAAGCATTCTAATCACTAACATGAAATTCCTTAACCTACCCGGCAGCACTTTAAAAATAATTTTAATCGTCACGTGAGAAAACATTAATATCTTGGACCTAGGGTTAACTAGGACCAAAACAGAACAAAGACGAGATCTTGAGTAGTTTGCAAGAAGACACCTAACACACACTGTCGCCCAAACATAGGATCAATAATACCCAATCCATTTTAGTTTGGAGTTCACCTCTTCTGTTCTTAAAGGAGACTTCGGTAAACTCTGTTTTTCTCACCATAAGTGAAACCTGTCCAAGTCTCCCTTCCAGAAACTTAAAAAAATGTTAGCCTGAACAATCTATGAATAGAAAAGACTTTATGAACAGCATTTTATGTAACTAAGGATATTTTTCCCCATTCTTCTTTATTATAGACTGGGCAACTCTCCTTCTTCCAGTATTTTCTCAACTATCACGTTTTCAAAAGATATAAACATAGTTGATACTTTGATAATAGAAAATTCAAAAACCACAGGCAGACACAATTAAAATATACAAAGTGTAATCTTTAAACTTCTGTGGTAAGGTTGGAGCTATGTATGCCATGACTGGCCAAGAGTTGCTGAGAAGCAAGCTGCTGCCAAACAGTACATGTCAGAGCCAGCCTGTTGTATTACCCTTAGACAGAGGGCTGACTGGATTCTTCTTTGCCATTCAGCTGCCAGTTTTACAAATTATGTAGAACTAAATCTCTGAAAACTCCATTCCTCTGTCATTGGCAACTGGATTCAAAAGTCATTTTGAGGGGAGAGGGCACAGACCGATACACAGACAGAGTAATCACATAAGCCTAATATCTTTATGCAATCAAGGCAAAGCAGATTTGCAGGAGCCACAAAGAGGTCAATTACAAGACAGAAATGCAAATCCATGTGAAATGATAAGTACTACACATACACAGTATAAACATACATAACATATGCACAACATAAAAGATAATCCAATCACTAAGGAGAACAGAAACTAATACTTTTCTGATTTTCTACAACAGTTTCATTTAACCGTATTTGTAAGGGTAATCGTGCATTTGTTTTTAAATATCAATCTTTGAAGCTAAATACTGTTTCTGGGCAAAATTATATCAGAAATTAATACTAAAATCCTATTTGTCTATAATAGCTAGATTGTAAGTTTAGCTTTTTGAATGGCTTTTTTTTAAATAGGTAATTCAAAAGTTCCATTGAACATTTATTATTACCTCATCACCTTTTGTAACTTCTGAGCCTGATGTAGCTGTTACTGTTGCCAAACTCGATTTTTCTCTCAATCTTTTCACTGTGTCAAACATCTAGAAATAGAAACTTACATGTTAAAAGTAAAATACAACTCAGCTGTAAACACAATACAGATAAGACCAAAGCTCTTGATATTCGTTTTCATATTGTTTTTAGAATTTCATATGGATGAAACCTACAGCCATACTCCTGAACGAGGCAAAGCACCCAGCTGAGACAGTATTGTGCACTCCTATAATACTGCTGTGTCTATCTCCTAAAACCACCAGTATAAAGGAAAGTAAAATTCTTCCAGTACTTTGAGTCCTACATCATTGCCAAACATCAGCCAGCATGACTTAAGTTTTAATACAAGGAGCTGCTAAAAAACCTTCTGATTTTACAAGCCTTTATGTATCGCTTGCTATTATATCAGAAATATAAGGAATAAAGTCTATGATGAAAAAATAATTATCAGAACAAAATATTAACATAACACTTGAAAAACAACTGCTAATACAGTTTTTATAAAGTGTTAATGCACAATGCTCAAAACACCTCATCTTATTTCGAGGTGGGGGAGGGAGAGGGGACTGACAAGAAAATTCAAAAGATTTAACTTCAAGAAATATTCTGTTTTTAACACTATTTAAGGAGTTATATATGAGTCATAACATAATTCTGAATTACTAAAATATTGTAGTTACATTCCCCGCCTCGTTTACCTGCAGGATCCAAATGACTGTGTCCTTCTGTGCTTCTAATTGAGGAACTCTTCTTAATTTCTCCAGAAGCATTAATACATTCACAGCATTCAAGGCTGAGCTTCCCATTCCTTTACAAAGGGAGAAAATAGAAATGCATACATCTTCTATTTATTTGCCATAAAAAAAAAAAAAAAAAAAAAAAAAAAAAAATCAACTAGACTGATTTACTCTGTCATTTCAGAGAAAATGAAACATACTTGTTGCTTTGTGGTAAAAATCAAAGGTTACTTCTTCTTCTGGAGACTTTTGTAACTGCTGCTTCTCTTCTAATAATCCTAGGGAAAGGAGATGAAGCACCTAGAAAAAATGAGAGGCAAAACTCATTCACTGTCAGAGGTCTGGAAACTGGTACACAGAGCTAAGAATGTTTACTATAGTTCCTTTCCTACTACTGTTGATTGTATAGATGATCACACACAAGAACCGGAAAATGTGCAAAGATGGTACACGAGAGGTGCAACTCCCGTGTCCTCCTTAATCATCCTCTCTGTGTATAAATATCCTTCTTGCATTTTCTTTAATAAATTTGCATACTGGCATATGAATTTGTTGTGTTGCTGGCATAAATCTATGAATAAGCAGCTAGTTCCAGAAAGACAGTTCAGAGTAGACCCACTTTAATATATCAGAAACAGTTAACAGACTTAACATGGGAAACCACCAAGGCTAAGACACCAGCACTATGCATACCATTTGGATCATTGCTTCTGTCCACAAGTGGGTTTCCAGTTCTACTGCTCTCTGGAGGATGGTCCGCAGTATGTGCATCATAACATCGCAGTTCAGAAGCCTCACCACGTTGCTGAATGCAGGACTGAACTCTGGAGGGGGTGGTGGTGGCAATGCTAGGAATAGTAACATGCAAATACATCAGTAACCATACTGGCATCTCATGAACAACTACAGGCAAGAAGTAGAGAGCAAATATACTGCTCCCTATTTAAGGAGCAATAGGATTTTTTCAGTCACAGAAACGTGACTAAACACAATGACTTGCCTAAGTAAGCTTTCATCTTGGGAAAAAAAAAGTGCATTTAATTAATTTTAGAAATAAATATACACAAACTAGACTAAACAAACAACTTATCACAAGTATCTAGTAATAACTGGCAATCCAATGTTTACTATACTCCACTGCCCCTTGCTATTTATATATACCACTGAGATACATAAAGTGTTTTTGTTTTGCACTGAACGCGATCTTCTGAAGTAGTTAAACAAGAACGAGCACTGAATTTTTCAAAATTGCAGTATATCATGTTGAATGTCCCCCGTATCACAGGAGTTCTAAATTATTCCTTCTATAGGATCATTTGGATCATTTCTAGTTATGTAGCTTGTCCAGTACTTAACCATATATTTTTGAGGCAATATTGAAAGCAAGTGGTACAGTGTCTCATGCAGAAAGCACATGGAATCTTGATGCCTACTAACAGCTCAATCCATAGCAGCAT